AAAGAGAGACAAGCTGAAAATAGCTCAAAACCTTAAATATGCAAAAAAGCCAGCACTGATTACCACTGGAACTTTATGTGCACAGTACGAGAAATTGTCGCCACAACGATACTGATAATTTTTTTTTTTGAAAAAAGGTACCAAGAGGAACAAAAAAGCATAATGTAGAAGAATGACTTTGTGAGTTCTACCAAATTCACATTCATTCAGCCACATCGCAGAAAACATTCCACTCAAAATGTTTTAGTTCCTCTTTGCGTCGTTCTGCAGCTCGCGCAGAACCGAATTCGAGCATCTCATATTGGTAAAACAGAAATGGTGGGATTGGCAATTTCAAAATATCCCGGATGCTCCTATCAAACTGAGTTCTTCCGCAACAAGCACTGAACTTAAATGGATAAGGGGACAAGAGAAAACTAGCGAATATAAGTTCTAGTCTGTGCATATACGAATACTCCCTGCACGAACTTCTTCATGCGCAACTAGTCCCGGCGACCCAGGCTTGCCCTGCATTTTACATATATTTTGCTGCCTTGAGAAAGCAAAACCTCAGACAAGCAATTTGTAAGAATCAAAAAGAAACTACCAATAGCTTTGCGAACTTATTTTCATCAGCATTATGCAGACAGAACAGGAACAATTTTGTCTTCGAGTTTTCGTCGTTGCCCAAGCGCTTCGTGACACCACTAATAACAAATTCGAACGACTCGTCCGAAATCCCCATAAACAACGCTGAAAATCCGATACTTTGCAACTGCCCACTTTTCATTTCATACCAGCCTATTTATATGAAAGTTTGGCAAGTTCATAACGATTCATACAATGAAACAGTGGTTTGAACGACGGCTGAAGCAGGACATGAAGGCAGACTGTTCAGCAGGTGAGCGCGAGGAAAGCTTAATTTGGTATGCAGTTCCGTAGCAGCAACAAACGAACAGAGGACACTCGCACAAATCCACTTATATCAAGCAACAAAATTTTCACTTTTCTTAACTGCCCTCAATAAAAGTGGAATTCTAAAAACAAGCATCTCTGGACCACCAGATCAAACATCGCCTATTTATAAGCGGACGGGGAGAATACGAATAAATTTAGCGCTTCTTTTCTAAGATAAAACGA